CAACAACCCCTTTTCAATAACCGGTGGATCACAGACCCACAAGGAAGGATGTTCCACTGCATGGCGTCCCCTTGGAAGGGATGGGTAAAACATGGGGTATTAAGGATTGGAGACATATGGAACCCAGAAACATCGGACAGGCATTCTCTTGCCGACCTATTACCTACCTTAAAGTATTGCAGAGGAACAGCAAGTGCACTCGACAATATTATAGAGGCCATCCCGATTGATTGGATGAGGATACTCAGGAAAGGTCCCCAACTAAAAGAGAGTGATTGGGTCAGAATCCAAGAGAACCCACAGCAAATAGGAAATATTGTAATGACAAACGGAAGGGGATCAGTCCTACTTACATTATTTCATATTAATCAGGGTAACAAAATAAAAGAAACCCATACCAAAGAAACTATATGGATGGATGTGAATCAGGTTTTCAGGATTAGAGTGCTGAAACATAAAGACCATTGGATTGCTTTCAAGCCATCGTGTGCGATTAATAAACTACCACTCGATCCTATTTATTGGTCATGGTCAGTCCCTACTAGAGGCCAGAAAAATTGTACTCGAAAAATCCACTCCCTATCGGTCAAATCTACTTACAGAATGTTGAGGCCTAGATTGGAGTTGAGAGACCGAGTAGAAGCCAGATGGATGAAACATTTGAATGTGAGTAAAGAAAACCTTAGGCACATCAAGTGGTTCAAAACCATTAAAGCCAGACCTACTAAAATTGCCTCACTGCAATGGCAAATTGACCACCGGTGCCTCCCAACAAACGATTGGCTGATTGATAGAACTTCGCTGGAAAAAAAAGGACTTGCTTTCCCTTGGTGAGACCTGGACACAGGCCCAAAAAGATGACTTTTCCAATAATTTATTTAAAACCAGCAGAAGAGCCATCCTTTGGGCCCTCTGGAATCGTCGTTGTACTTTCGAAATGGAAGGCGCCAGGCTGGACGGCCCAGAACTCACTGAAGGAATCAAGCTGCAAATTCAGACAGTTATCACAGTCCAATGGAATAAAGTCAAGGAAAAAATCAAGTTCCTAACAAATGAAAAAGAAATCCAGCATCAAATCCAACTTTACAG